AATATTCACCTTATTTTACAGGTACGCGTATCCATGATTATATGTATACTCGTGTATAGCATAAAATAATATATACTACGCACCACCTTAATACCATTGCTTTATTGTATATTATTATTATGAATTGTAAGAATGGCCATTTTATGCGAATCCGTACGGTAATCGGATCGACTAGGTATGGAAGGGGAAGAGAGTGAGGGATTTCGACGTGCCGTGAGAATGAAAATATAACGCTTATAATAATATGTACGCAAGTATATCATTATATTATTATAAGACATTGTTTTCCTTTTGTTTTACACGATTGTAGAATTAAATTATGTTTTTTTTCACCGTCCACGAACGCAACAGAAAAAATCAATTAGCAGCAAAAACCGAGTACGGTTCTAAGTATCTCACGCGATAGACATAATAAACATAAAATATCACACACACGCTAGCATACACTCATAAGCCGTATGTATTGTGATAATTTTTGATAATTATTGCGACGACTGTGCATAATCTGGGAAACCAGATCGACTGATTTTGCGGCAAACACATAATTAATATATAATTATTAATTTTTTCGAAATGCAGACCGACGACGGCGAATTGCTGTTTCATACAACGTGCACTGCGGTACGCAAAATATAAAAAATATAATATTATAATACATCGTTTTTATAGACTCTTGCACGTCACGGAGATTAAAACGCGACGAAAAAAAATACGTATAGGTACCTATGAGGCTATGAACTGTACTGTACACCACGCGCGATGAAAACTAGACTGTATAATTATTATATTAGTTCGTGTTTTTGCGTGCGTTTTGTCGGATATTATACTAGGTACGTGGTTTTAATTTCATCAACCCGCGGCTGAATAATTTCTGGCTTCGTTAGGTATATTATATAATACTCTGCAAACACAATAATAGTATACCTATACGGCTATATGTAGAAAAGTCTAAGTATGTAATCTATATTTTCGAATTTTTCCCAACCAGGCACCCAAAGTATATACGAGTATTATACAGAACAATTTGCCCTCGAAAAGAGATGTGGAGACTTGAGGCGAGGGTAAAAGCTCGGGTGAGTATATTTTTCCTAGTCTACCGTTCATATAGTATATAAAATCATATTTTAAAACTTACTTTGAAACTTTACTTTTATAAATAATAAAATTTATAATTATTTTACTGCATAAATGATTTTACATATATTTATAGGAATAATACGATGGATTTAAATATAACAAGACAATCTAAGATATTTGGCATGATTATGAATATTTTCGATGAAAAACTAGGTGAGAATAATTAAATACGTATCCCTTTCCCCTACTTACAAGTTACTTACATTTAAATTGAAATCAAAATATGAGTGACAAGCATCAATATTAAGAATATTATATTTTTTATGATTTAATATAGTAGTAATGACAGGAATTGAACAACAAAAATATAATTATACAAAAAAATGAAAACTCTTAGACTTGCTTGTGTGTGAACTTTTATACACTCGACTTCACCATCGTAAGTATATATTGTTGTATACAATGTAAGTTGCAGTATATAATGACGAACCGTCATCTAAACGTAATAATTGCAGTCACACAAACAATAATACGATATGTGTTTTCGTACCACAGTCATTTCATTTTATCCAATACCCCTTTTTAACCCCATGGCAGCCTAGACATTCCATGCAATGCGTATTTATTCGTTAGATAAAACAAAACAAAATACCAATTTGTAATTCTATAAGTCTGCAAATAAAATGGCCGTCCCAGCAGTTCAATATGGCAGCCGGTCGAGGATTATGTTACATCACGGGCTGTATAGGTGTATAATATTATATGTAATATATATGATAATAATATATAATGGCGCGTTCGTCTCCGATTGCAGGTGATGGCTTGTCGTGGGGTTCGTCATTTGGCGCAGGTAGGAATTCACGTAAATTTTTGATGGTCGTATGACGGGGGACGGCGGGCAACCTTCTTCACGCCTTCCCAATTGTACGAAACCCCCTCGCGATCAGTTGGCTACGCGCGGTATGGTATTATATGCAAATTTCATACAAGTTTTCGATAGTAAAAACGTACGAAAGACTAAATTATTACTCAAACACATAAGCGGTCTTAGGTATTTGTATACATGTACAGCGAAAAAATATAATGGCGTGACGGATTCGAGAGCTCGGTGATAAAAAAACCTTAGGCACAACCAAGCAAGACCAACCCACCTCTGTTATAGTTTACACGCCGATTTCTAAAAGGCCAAACCCGCGAACTAATTACTAGCGTATAACAATGTTCAACAACCATAATGTACATATTTTATTGTTTGTCATTACTATAAATCTACGAGTATGTGTATACGCGTATATGGTACAAGTATTTTGATATTTGATACGTAGCCGTCAACTTGAATATTGAAGTTTTTTGGGCTATATTATTTTATTAAACTAAATAATTTTATAGTATTATAATATGACACACAAAAGAAAACTTTTAAATAGCGAACGAAAAAGAGCTAGCTCAAACTGCAGGTTGCAAGTTAAGTACTACTGTAATCATCAACTGCACAGTGCCGAGTGTATAAGCATATAACTCGTCTGAATTTTTAAGAAAATTAACTAGAATGACGAGGGAAGAATACTAAACCGGTTAAACATGAAAATTTCATTGAATCAATAATTCGTAAAGAGACTTAAAGTTTGTGTAATATGAATCCAACGACAGGCCAGGGGTGCGAAGCCGCAACAATATAGATACGATTTGTAACAATAATCACGTGCCGTTATCCATAGGAACCTTGGGAAAGTATCGCTAAGGTATTATATTGAGCCTCAGTATTTATATATATATATATAATTATACAGACCTATTTATTCTGATATTTAGTTACAGAATTGAATTGAATATATAAATAGTTATTTAAAAAATATATTTTCTTGCTTTAGTGAGTACCTAAAAAATAATGATAGTTTCATGTCCTTATAGGGTTGGTTGAAATCGAGATGGGCGCTTTAGTGGCCGGGGGTCGGTGAATAGTAAATGTGCTACGGTATGCAGCAACCGACAGACTAGGACTTTTCCCACACAATTTACGCTCGCGCTGGAATGCTTACGAAGATAAACATCGACGGTCTCAGGGGCGGCGGCGAAAGAATATGGTTTCGCTAGTAGGTAGGTTACTATAATATATAATATAATATAATAACGGTTATACACAACGTATATAAACATAATATCTGTAATAATATGTACAATGTGTATTAGACACGACGATACGCTCCGACCGATTATCATCTCACCAACATCGCAGAAGGAAGCCTGCTGCGACCACTCGATGCATCAAAAAGCCACTGCAGGTCAATATACAATGAATTTACTAAATACGATTGACGTGTTGCATTTTGTTATACAATTATGCTAACACATCGATGTGAATATTATATTATTGTGAGATATTCGACGACGGTGTTGTAGTTGTTAAAAACGATCGAGTGTACATTTGCATAAATATATACCCGCGGCGGGATATGAACCGATGATACGATGTCCAGCTCGATAGACGGATTTATGATCGATTTAGATGTAAATGCGTTTCGGGCGTTAAGTGATCCGCGACGCGAGTTGACGGTCGTCTGCTAGACGTATCGGCGTGTTTTCCGTAATCGAATTCCGCGGCGCGACGGCGATTTAATCAACACCCTAACTCTTCTATCTCCTGCATCACAAACCACGACCACATCCATACACGCGAATTCTTACTCTTCCTCTTTAGGTGCACCTATATAAGCATCGCTCCGATTAAAAAAAAAATATATCTTTTACGATTTATACGGAATTAGTCGTTGATATTATATAACACTATAGTAGTATACGCGTATAATTTGTTAGACTGCAGCGCTTTTGGGCGTTGTATACGATACCGGTACGATTATTATATTATACACGCACCAGACGATCGCATGTCAATGTCTATTAATTGTTTTTAAATCGAAACGCGACGTGGGTACGTGCGAAAAATACGTTCGAAACAAATATGCGAATTCTTAACGCCGGTGGCCTGTAACACGAACGGCAACGCACCAACGATTGACTACGTCTCACCGAATTACTATCCGAAACGGGTTTTTATGTTATTTTGTTATTGTATTCTATAAAAAGAAAAGAAAGAAAAAAAGAAAAGGAGAAATATCGTTTATCTTTTTAAAAAACTGGGAAGTTCATAAATGTTATTATTTACGTTATTTTAATAAAATGCAGTGCAATTTTAGAACTCGGTATAAATATATTTTTCGGGGAAAAAAACGTGTTTCGAGTAAATCTATTAAAGTTAGATAATATATTTTTATACGTAGGTACCTGCAATATACAGTGTGATCACGATTTATGGTAACACTAAATATCTCAGGTGCATGACCTTGTATTGAACTGGGGTTTTCGGGAAGTGATAGGGAGCACTTAAATACATATTTTCAGACCAGTTTCAAATTTTTAGCTCACTCGGTACGCGCATGCGCAATACAACTTACTTTTTTTTAAATGGCAACCCCAGTTTTTTTTTGCAGATTCAGATAGAGTATTTTTTTTTAAGCATTTTTTGTATCAACAGTTTTTTTCTATTTTCAAAATTGACCATGTTAGAATAAGTCAAAATTTAGGTTTATGCAAAATTCGTATTTAATGAAATTTTTATTTATAACCACTGGAAATAATAAAATAAGTGCCAAATAAATGTTTAATTTACTTTATCTGTTTACAAATAATAATTTAATAATACTGTTGGTCAATATGTAGAGTATGTGATAATATTTGTTTAGTAAACTCCTATAATACGATTACAATTTTAACTATTTTTGTAGTGGAATTTTGTTTTATTTTACAATAGCTCAAATAACGATAAGACAATCAGATAATGTAACTATTAAGGTATTTAGTTTGATGAAAAATATAATTTTACCATTATTCTGTAACTAGACCTGTACTAAAGTGTGAACGTTACCTGTGTATGTCTAGTTATTAAGTACTCTTATAAATTATACGTTTTTAAATATGAATAACGCTGAAAAAGTTGAGTTGGTTTTAATTTATGGTGAATGTCAGCGTAATGTACGCCTAGCCGCTGCGACATATGCCGAACGATACCCAGAAAGATACCATCCACCATTTAATTATGTTTTACGACTTTTACAAGGGTTAAATCAGGAAGGAAGATTTCCTGGCAGACAAATGAACCAACAAAGGCGAAGAGCAAATATGTTTGATGACGATACAGAATTACAGGTACTAGCATACATAAGAACTAATCCACGTTCGTCAATTAGGCATGTTGCTCGCGAAATTGGAGTTTCATATGGTTATGTCCAAAAAGTTCTAAAAAAACACCAAATGCACCCATATAAAATAGATTTTGTCCAACATTTGCGCGCAGGAGATTCTATTCGTAGATTGGAATTTATAGCTTGGTTCAATATTAAATTATATGATAATCCTATGATTGTTAATCATATTCTTTGGAGTGATGAGTCAAAATTCACTAACAATGGCATTATGAATAAACAAAACCATCGATACTGGGATGACACAAACCCACACTGGTCACGTAAAACTAATTTTCAAACGGTCTGGGGAATTAATGTATGGTGTGGGTTAGTTGGTGGAAAGCTAATAGGACCGTTCTTTTATGATGGTACACTTAATGGCAGACGATACCTTAATTTTTTAACTAATGAACTGCCAAGACTGTTGGATGATGTTTCATTAGACACACGAGAACGTATGTTTTTCCAGCAAGATGGAGCACCAGCCCACAATGCAATTATTGTTAGACGACATTTAGATCAAATATTTCCGAATCGCTGGATTGGAACTTTTGGCGTCATTCCTTGGCCTGCACGATCCCCAGATTTAACGCCATTGGATTTCTTTTTATGGGGTTATTTGAAGACTGTGGTTTATGCAGATCCACCTGTCAATCTTCAGGACTTAAAAAACAAAATACAAGCAGCATGTGATATTTTAAGTGAAGAACAAATCAAGGCGGCAACTTCGACTGAATTTTTGAGGCGACTTGAATCATGTTTAGAACATAATGGCGAAAATTTTGAACAATTCATAAGATAAATGTATTTAATACATTTTATTTTTTATTTAATATTAATATTAGGTACTATTAAATTGTAATCGTGTTATAAGAGTTAATTAAACATATTGTAAAAATAAATTATTATTTGTAAACAGATAAAGTAAATTAAACATTTATTTGGCATTTATTTTATCATTTCCAGTGATTATAAATAAAAATTTCATTAAATACGAATTATGCATAAATCTAAATTTTGACTTATTCTAACATGGTCAATTTTGAAAATAGAAAAAAACTGTTGATACAAAAAATGCTTAAAAAAATATACTCTACCTGAATCTGCATAAAAAAACTGGGGTTGCCATTTAAAAAAAAGTAAGTTGTATTGCGCATGCGCGTACCGAGTGAGCTAAAAATTTGAAACTGGTCTGAAAATATGTATTTAAGTGCTCCTTATCACTTCCCGAAAACCCCAGTTCAATACAAGGTCATGCACCTGAGATATTTAGTGTTACCATAAATCGTGATCACACTGTATATACACAGTAGGTACATATACACTGCAGTGTATGCATCCGTGATGAGCATAGGTGTTATGCTCATCACGGATTTCATTGACTATTAGAGTCCTGCGAAATCAGAATTAAAAATAAGCCTTAAACGTACAGAAAGGGGGCATTAGAGACTAGAGTATTACTACAAAGATTAGACATTTTTGGATGGAATTTTACTAAAGCTTTTTAACAAACATACAATTATAATTCTAATATCAACTATTCCATTTGAAAGTAATTATATAACATGTCAAAAATTGAAACAAAAACACAAATCCAAAATATTACACAATTTAAATTAAATAATAATAGTTAGGTTACTTTAGGAGAAATAATAAAATGTTTTTATTTTATTTAAATCAATAGTTTGTGTATAGTACTTTAATAGTAGGTATATTAAACCTATAATTATGTTTTATTATATGTTATAACTTATAATATTATAATATAGACATCTATATTTATATTTTTATAAATAAAACTATGTATATAATTATTGATAATACAAAATTTAAGTACAAGTTGAACTTAATAAATATTTATACTTAGTTGTCCTCTTTTTAATAATAAATTACTTTACAACCCAATAATAAAATCCTATATTTATTGCTTGTCAATATTTTGTCAATATTGCAAACGCTTTGCTTTATACAAGGGACATTAAAAAAAAAAAAAAAATACAAAAGATAGGCGCAATGCGTTAAAGGTCTTTGAAAAATAATTCACTATGAATACGATCAAAAAGCTCTCAATAGCGGATAGCAGTACGTTGCGGCCCAAAAAACGAACTAAATCGTAGTTTACTTAAATGTCTGACGTGGGCGACGACTTTAGACGTTATATATAGGTAATACAGAATTCGCGAGTTCATCGGCTCATGAAAATAGTAACATTATTAAACAGTTTGCGATATTGCCAATAGCCATTACAACAATAATTCATTATTTATACCGAACCAGCAGGCAGCAGTTATTTCCGTTTGCTGTTCGGTGGTGTCCTACTTTCTTGAGCAGAAAAAAAAACCGTTTCATTTGCATTTTTATTGCCGTATTAGATGTTATGCCGTCGAAAATTTGATAAATCAAATCGGTCCGTTAAATGTTATTAATTATCGCACGCTTGTTATACCTACGCCTATAAGATAGAGGCGCGCCTACCTATTAGTAGATACCTATGTAATAACATACTGTACTCGTACCTACGGATCATCCTAATGCAGTAAAATGATAATATTGTTATATAGTGAGTATGTATATTATAGTAACTGTAATTCAATATTATTATACACCATCGACGATTGATACTCCAACATATTAAAACAAAATAACTTTATGAAATATGATTTTGTAATATTGCAACTTATTTACTTTATTAATAGCATATATAGCGTCATTATTGCTGTTTTTGATACAGCGGTCGCGCGAAATCATTACCATCGTTAAACTCGATGACTATACGGTATATAAGTTACAACCTCCAAATTTGAATGTAAACAAATCGTTAATTATCGTAACTTTGAGACGTAAAAACATTAAGACTCGTTAACGAATTCATTTTAATTAGTCGAATTATTTATCTGGACTTGATGATTTTTTTTCCTTATTTTTATACTTAAGTAAGCATCTCTTAGATTTCGCTCGGCCGTAACTTTTTTTTTTTTTAACGAGAATTTACTTAGTGTACCTAGTGTAATTAGATACTTTGAAAACAAAACGCTTCGTTCAAACATAATTATTTTATCGTTTGCTTATGTTATAATACTGTTCAACTTACATAATCGAGTTCAATAAATGGATGTTTTATAATATTATAAGCAGCTGAACTAAACATTCGACCGAGTATACCTATACACAATGCAATAATAGTATAGTATACGCACTACGCATAAAATATGCAATAATTGTTTTTTACGAAAAAACAATCGTTTATACTATCCACACAACTGTGTTCTGAATAATCCATGTGATATGACCTTTTCTTTTCTTATGTTTTTTTTACATGGGCGCATTTGAATTTCATAATTTGTTTTATAGACGAAAATCTAAATTATACCATGTAAACAGCTGCATGCAATAACGACCGTTGAAAAAATCTCGATCCTTGGTAAGGAATATTAATATAATTTATAATATTTTAATTCGATCGGTCGTTTGATATACATTGTATAATAGTATAATAAATTACAATATACATGCACTTATATCATAATAATATCTAATCACCTGCAGGTGGCATCTGGCCGTGTGTTTATTAGTCGTGATATTTTTTATTTTATCTCTTCCCGAACAAGCGTTTTATAGAGTCGAGTGTGTTTGGCGCGTGAGAGCGAGACGTTCCATCGACCATAGTAGTTGTAGCAATACTGTTATGTATTATATACATTTGGCGGCGTAGATTGAAAAAGATCCTTTACGCCGGAGGACGTTGCGTTCTATTAGCTACGTGATTGATTAAAACCTGCGGCGGATTTGTCTCGTATGTAAAACGATTTTATTTTGTATGTATGTAATAAAAATTAACAGCCCGGTGCCCAAAAAGTATTAACTGATAAGCGTCCGGTACTGCAATTATCCATATACGCACGCGTCCCGCAATCACGCCTACGTGCAATTGGGTACATTATTATGTTCTGGACCAGGATTTATAAGTATTTAAAAAACCAAAATATCGAATACAATTAATTATTGCTTGAGGTGATGTATTTAAACGTAAATTTAATAGCTATTAAGGTAATTTCGGATAAATAAGCAACATGAAAATAATATAAATATGTAGGTACTTATTAATTTTTAAAAATAAATTCTTAAATTATAAAATGTCATTAGATAAAAATGAATTTAAAGAATAATAAAATATTACTGTAAAAACATTGATATATATGTTTATACAAAGTATCCGTGTATAACAAAAATAAACTCAGTTTGTTCAGAATTGTTTAAAACGTATGTAATAATTTATAATTACCTACTTGCTGAAAGTTAGAAAATACTAAATAGAACTTTGCGTAAAACACGTGTTTGTATTCAAATCCTAGCTTTTTAATTATACGAGGGTAAGTATATTAAATCGTTTTAACTTTTTGTTTTCGTTTTGGCAATAATATGATAATAATTTATTATTTACTATCATTCCTGCAGCAACGGGCTGTTACAGACTCGCGGTCGGACCGTTTTCCGGTGTTGGCACATATATGTACCTATTATTACTATACATGGATACGTCATTGTTTTTTGTTTGAATTTCCACCCGCATGCATAGACAATTGAAAAAGAAAAACGAAAAAACAAATTGAAACAACAATAAAATACAAACACATACAAAAAAAAAAAAAAAAGTATGATAACCTTAAACGCATTACTATGTGGAAAATATTATTTACATAATAAAAATGTCATATCATGCGCGTATAACACAACGTTGTATGCGTGCATCTAGTGTTTTCTTCTGGCGGCGACGTTGATATCAGCACGATATTGCGTATTATAATAATATGTAATAATAAAAAAAATAAAAAAAGTATAATATAACAGTACGCACGGATAGTGTTTAAATACTATATCGCTACACATTGTGCTATTGCAGGGGAAGGGCTTCGCAGCAAAGGACTCAACACAATATAGATCCAGCGTGACGTTAATAAATTAAAAATTTCGTTACCGACATTACTAACTTATCGTTTACGTAAACGACTCAGCTGGTAACTGACTGATCAAATGAAATAAAAAAATTAAATTATACAAGCGCACGGAATACGATTAAAGTGCCAGGTTCGCGATAAAATAAAACAACCTCCCCGCGTGTACAGGTACATTATATGGTATTATACACGCATATGGTAGGTGTATAATACACATCGCATTTAATGCGTTTGGCAGATAACATGTGACACTGAAATCGTCGAGAACCGATTTAACGATGTCGTCGTCGTCGACGACGGCTGCGGCTGCGGCGGTGTCCAACTCGTTATTAATAATACTATATTTTTTATCACGTTTTCTATAAGCAATACTTATGTTACACGCACGCGCATATTGACGTATGCGAATTTTACGTAAAATGGATATTATTATCATCATCGTCGTTTGTGTGGACGTATAAAATATTCTTTTTATGGATTTGCAGTCGTGTGGCGCCATCTGTACGAATTACTCGCTTTATACGGTTTTTAGTAGTTAAGCGATTCGTACAGTTACGACAATAATATCGTAATGATCATGACATATATTTGGAAGCCGATCAATAGAAATAATAATTATACCTTGAATATGTACGGCAAGTTATAACTAAAAAACATGGATGAGTAAATAGATATAACGTTCGATCGTTAACGATGCTATTGGACCATGTGAAAATACTCGTAAACATAAGATTAAAAACAGCCGAGCTATATAAGTTAATCGTTGGTATGCTACATTATGTCTTTTTTACACAACCTCAATTTTATTATGTTATTATTAAAGTGACACGCATTAAACACAAAATAATATCAATAACACTGATCAAGAGTCTTTAATTATGCGCA